TTCTCGTCACAGCAACGCTCAGCTTTTAAAAATGTAACTCGAGGGGCGCCTGGGTGGCTTAGTCGGTTAGGCGTCCGACTTTCACTTAGGTCATGATCTCACGGTTCGTGGGTTCGAGCCCCGCGTCAGGCTTTGTGCTGACTGCCAGCTCAGAGCCTGGAGCCTGTTTCAGTCTGTGACTCCCTCTCTCTCTGACCCTCCCCTGCTCACGCTGTCTCTCTCTCTCTCTCTCTGTTAGAAATAGATAAAACAATAAAAAAAAAAAAATGTAACTCGGACCTGAGGAGTGAAAAGTGTCTGAGGCGCTGGTGGAGAGGTAAGTTAAGGGACAGGCAGGGATGGAAAGCAGGTCAGACTGAGGAGGAGGAAGAGCAAAATTAACAGAAAAGCCAGACATTGTCACCTGTCTGCGAGAAGGCTGTGAATGCCACATTTAACACACCCTAGAACGGCAGGACATCTGGGAGGCAAGGGGCCACGGTGACTGTCATCACCGGAACCTGGGCCTCTGTGCACGGGGAACAACACCCGAGCTCCCTCCCGGGGCCGAGCTCCGCGGCGAAAGGCAGGGAGGACTCACCTCCCGCTCCCAGCTCTCCCTCCGCAGCTTCTTCCACTGCTCTCTCTTGGCAAAGTAGTCTGGGTACATTGCCTTCTCGGACGGATGCCAGTCATCTAAGCACCACTCAGGAACCTGTGTGGAGAAGAAATCACCGTGTTGGCCCAAGGGAGGCACTGACGTGCCAGCCACAGGGCCTGCCCGGGAGGCGAAGGCAAGAGTGACGGGGTAGCCTTGCAAGCACTGCACGCACCAGACTTCCTGGCACTGCGCAGCGGGCAGCAGAGGGCTCCTCAGAGTCCAAGAGCCCAGGGCCCAGAAACCTCCAGGCCGGGCCAGAGGGGACTGGCACCATGCCTCCCTGACCCGCGCTCTCTTCACGCTCTGTGGAATCCTTACCCACTAAGCACCAATCCAAATTGGTTACCTTTAAGATGCAAAAATGGGTTTTATATACCAATTTAGCACCTTGCTTTCTCAAAAACGATACCGCAAGACCCTGGAGCTGAATTTCGAAAGAAAAGCCTAAATGTCACCTGGGAGAGAGGAAACAGACACCCGCAGAAAAAGTATTCACAACTGTCAGAACGTAGGCCTCGCTGCCCCCCGCAGGGCAGGTGGTTTGGGGGAACAGTGTCTGTGGCCGCCCCCGCGACGCTCGCCCACCTTGTAGCACTCGTATCTCTCGTAGGAGGTCCCTCCTGGAGACTCGGGGAAGGTGTAGGGCTGAGGGTGCTGGTTGTGCCAGAATTCTTCCTCGGCCTCCCTCAGCAGTTGGGTGGCCTTCACCATATCCTTTTCATTCTTATGTTCTTCAAACCGGGCTCTCAGCAAACAAGCAAAGTAGCGGTATTTGTCCCTTAAATCAAAATGGTTGTGGAGATGAGAAACGTGATCTACTCCACTGAGCAGGATTACTGCCTGACAAAGAGGCTGTACTTCCACTAACCCCTCTGGACGTGTAGCATGACTGCCTGGACCTTCCCTGGGCCCTGCCAACAGAGGAGCCACATCGTTAGGACTGCCTCCTCGGCAGTCCCCTGAGACCCACAGTAAAAACCAACAGCCAAAAAGCAAAAACAAACTAAAAAACACACCAAAAAAACTGTATTAGGGGCACCTGGATGGCTCAGTTTAAGATTCCAACTGTGGCTCAGGTCATGATCTCCCTGTTTGTGAGTCTGAGCCTTGCATCGGGCTCTGTGCTGACAGCTGAGAGCCTAGAGCTGCTTCGAATTCTGTGTCTCCCTCTCTGTCCCTCCCCTGCTCACGCTCTGTCTCTCTCTCAAAAATAAACATTAAAAAAAATTTAAAACACTGTACCAAAAACCTAACCACCTTCCCCACACTCTCCTTCAAAAGAAAGAATGCAGATTCAAACAACAAAAAAATAATTTGCAAAAGAGAAAAACTATAGCCTCTGTAGGATCATTCAACACTCATTCAGTGACAACTTACTGAGTTCCCTCCTACTTTGTGCGAGGCACTGTGCTAAATTCTGGAGATACAAAGATGAGCAGGAAGGGAGGGGTTAACACGGCAGCTACACTGCCTGAATCAGTCACATCTGAGTTTGAATCCTGACTCGGACACTAACTGCAGGTCTGCAGGCAAATTAAAGTCAGGTTCTAGAAGAAACGAAAGATAGAGATCATTTCGCCTTTCAATAACCCAAGCCACAGATGAGACGGGCCTGAAGCAGGCAACTGAGACGCTAGGAGACAGAAGAGAGACATTTACGTTACAGAATCATGAGCACGTCCGCTAAAATCGGATTGGCTAGGACTCAATCTTAGCTTACTAGCCATGTAACCTGGGGTAAATTAATGTCTTTAGGCCATGGTTCCTCCTCTACAAGTACCTAGATCTTAGAGTTTACCTAAAGATTTGATAAGCCAAATCATATCACACTTCCGACAGTACTTCCTCTGCTCTATGTCAACTACTAATATTATTACCGTGAAGAGGATTTACAAGAATCAGTATCCAATTATACACAGCACACAAGTACACGTGTCACTGGCAGAGCGGTAAGTAGGGAGTATGAGAACGATTCTAAGACTTAACGCTGTGTGGCTGAGTAATGCCATTACTAATAATGCCATTAGCGGAGACAGGGAATTTGGGAAGAGGATCAGAAGGAGGCAGCAAAAAAAGAGTTGGGTTTTCAGGCATTAAGACAAGTTGACTTACAGAGAACAAAACAATTGGCAAACAGCTCTACACACAAGTGAGTGTAGGTGGGAACTCAAGTCCTAGCATTAAATGAGGCTCCCCGAAGTATATACACCAATAACCAAGGACCTGGGACAGAACCATGGAGAACAAACAGCACTGAGGACAAAGGGAGGAAGGAAAGTCCCAGGAGAGGACATCAGTATGACTTAAAAAACGCTGAGTCAATGTTATCACAGGAGATGCTTTCATTCTTTCCTCCATAATATTCCCAGATGCAGGGGCGCCTAGGTGGCCCAGTCAGTAAGCATTCGACTCTTGATTTGGGCTCAGGATAGGATTTCACAGCTTGTGAGTTCAAGCCCCACATCAGGCTCTGTGCTAACTGTGGAACCCACTTGGGATTCTTTCCCTCTCAGGTGCGCGCTCTCACAAATAAATAAATAAACTTAAAAAAAAATCCCCAGATGCAATTCAGTGTTACCTGAATCCTTGAGAGCTCAACTTCCCTCATCTTTATAAGACTGATAATTCTGTTACCTGTTTACATGTCCATCTTCCCCATTAACCCATGAGCTGCTACAAAGGAGAAAGAGGACTTACTAATTTTTGTTTATTTTGTAGCCAGCACAGAACCTGAACTGCAAATTGTCAGATGAATGAATGACGAAAATCAGGGAAGAGACTAACAATTCTACAATGTTCAGCCTGCCCACCTCTCTGTCTACAGCAAAGCGAAATAGGTGAATGGCTTTCCAATAATCACAACTATGCAATCCGGGCTTCAAGGATACCCTCCACAACTTTTTCAGACCCACTTGGTTTTCCATCATTTAGCGCTTTTTCCCAGGTAAATGGGAAAACTCATTTTAAAATAATTTAGCTCGTCTCCTGGCACCAGGCTTTAGGCTTCTTATGAGGCCTGGCATCTACACATCTTGGGTTGCTACCAGGCACTGCATCTAGGTCATGAAAATCTAAGTGTTTGAAGACTATGTCCTAAGACTACTCTCGGATGGAAAGAGAGAAGAAAGACGAGAACTATGTGGCTGGTAAAGAATTCTGTGAATGTAAAAATGGTGGAAAGGGCTGGATGAAGCTAAGGAAAGGAAAGCCGACTCCAGGGGTGGGAGACTGATGATGTATTGGGGTTAGGCATCTGTTTAAATCCTGGCCCAGCCCCCAGCTGGAGGGATTTGGCAAGTTACTCTCCCTATTTCCTTACCTGCAAAATAAGGCTAAATAATCCCTGACTCCTAGAGTTGTTTTGAGGGCTAAAGAAAACAATATACTATTGCTAACATTAAGAATAAGAAGCTCTTATTTACTAAGCGCTGGCCGCATGACGACAGCTTTAGGCACTTTCCTTTATTTCATTTAATCGTCATGCGACCCTCTGAACTGGTCTTGCATCGTTGTTCTTGAACAGATAACTGAGGCCTAGGCTAGATAAACAACTCTTCAAGGTCTCGCTCGCAGCTAGGGGCGACGAAGCCTGCATTCGAACCCGGGTCTACGGCCGGCTTCCCACTTCGTCCTCCTTGTCCTTGAGCCGCTCAGTCCCCCGAGGCCTGAGGATCCCAGGGACCACCTCCCCGCGCCCTCGGTCCCCCTCTCCCACCTGTGAACACAATACGACTCCAGGTGGCGCAGCGCCCGCTTATAGAGCCGCAACACCTTCTGCTGGTGGGTCAAGTAGGCACCGGGCGCGCAGAACGCCATGATCGCCCGCTTCCACCAGCGGCCGCGGGGGCTCCCGGGAAGCCGGAGGCCTGGCCGAGGGGCGGGGCGGCCGGAAGGGCGGGACGACGGACGCCACTTCCGCTTCCGCTGGGGAGGAGCCTGGGCTGCAGCCATGAGTCGCTTCAAGTTTGTGGGTGAGTTCCTTGCGGATTCTTGGGCTTTACTGACCGCACGCGTCTCTCACCGCGGCCGGGGACCCAGGATTTGAGGTCTCCCGCCTCTTGACGGTTGAAAGGGCACACAGTGGAAGAGGGGCAGGGAGGCTTCTGGCTGCCGTTAATGTTCTGGTACTCGGCCTGGGGGCTGGTTTCGCGGTGTGCGCATTTGTGAAAATTAACAAGCTGTACAGTTACGATTTATGCTCTTTTCAACATATGTATTGTATTCAGTAACAAAAGGTAGCGAAACTACCAAAAGAAGAGGCCATTTACTGTTTTCCCCTCCCCTTGACGGGGAGGATGACAGCTTCGAGGGACCCGTTCACTCAGTAATTCGTGCGTTCGTATCACAGTTACTGGGCGCCTCTGGTGGGCCAGGCACCGGTCTAGGAACTCAAGGCACAGAGACCGTCCCTTATCGGCTGGGATCACCATCCGGTGGAGAAACTAGAGGACGCACATAGTGGGGTGTTACTTGACGAGGACAATAATCCGCTCACCATCGGTACGACAAGAGGGAGAATGCGACAGGAACCGAAGGGGGAAGAATATTTACTACCTGGCACCTAGAAAAACTTGAGACATTGTGAAAGCTAGGGTTGGAAAGGTAACTTGGGACTTAAATGTCTGGCTGATTTTACTTTTACGGCGTATAGAGTGGAGCTTCGCAGGCTTCTAACCTAGAAGGTTAAGTAAATCGTGGGGTGCCAGTTATGCCCCAGGAACCTTGGGCTGTGCGTTATTACAGCAGTGAGTGAAGCTGGGCATGATTCTTGTCATTGTGGCGCTTGCAGCTACTTGAAGGTGGGAAATGGCAGTGATCACATCTCCGCTTTAATAAGGCAATCCTGACAGCTACTGTAGGTTTGGTGGGGGAAGGGGAGAGCTAGGGAATCGTTTCCAAGCTTGAACTAGGGCAGTGGAAAAGGGAGAGAGAAAATACAAGAGATGTCTGTATGCAGCATTTGGCAGCAGAGTGTTGATGGCAGTAAGAAATGTGCACAGTCAGATGACTCAGGGTTGGGATAAATACCTAAATATGGATGGAAGCATGATTAGTTTGGCAATGGGGAGGAGATGTATCGAGAGCCATGCGAATTAGGTTAAGTTTGAGAGTCTTAATAGGATATCCAGCTGAAGACGTTCACTGGGCAATTGGAAATGTAGTCTGAGAGAGGTTAGGATTATAAATTGAGATCTGAGAGTTATTTATTTTTAATAAATTTGTCAGTTCTACTTTTTTAAAAACTATTTATTTTGAGAGTGTATATGTGCAGCAGAGGGGGAGGGAGAAAGAGAACCCCAAGCAGGCTTTGCACTGTCAGCGCAGATCCCGACGTGGAGCTAGAACTCCCACACCGGGAGATCATGACTCAGGCTGAGATCAAGAGTCGCTCGCTTAACCGACTGAGCCACCCAGGTGCCCCCAATCTGAGAGTTATTTTGAGCAATATGTTTTACCAAAGACTTTGTGCTAACTTTGTCGAACTATGAGAGAATCTAGGGGTGCAGTTAATTTTCAGACTGAAGAGGTATGTACAGTCAGAGTTCTGTACCATCAAAGCAAGTGCAGGGGAGAGTGTGTTAAGTGCCACAAAAGAAATTTAAAAATGGTGTAGGAGAGCCTGGGGTGGGGGTGGGGGAACAATCCTCTATGGCTGTAGACCTTTTCCAGGTGTGGTACCTGTCCGCCTCTCCGCTCCCATCTGTGATATAATTGATGGGAAGATGGGCCAAGAGCCATGAAGCAGTACACACAGAAAAGACTTATTTGTGACATAAAACTAAATCCCCGTCTCCAGTCATGTCTCCTTCAGCCCATCGTTCATAGAGTCTCCAATGTGGTCAGTATAAAACTCGACTACATTTTTCTTCTGCTTCAAATCCTTCAGTTCCTGTCCTCGGGAGAGTTGAAGTACCCTGACAGAGCACACAAAACCTTTCCGCGTTCTGGTCGTGCCCACTTTTCCACTCTCATCCCTGCTATCCTTGAAACACTTGGACATGTTTCTTGCCTCTGACCAGGTTTTACAGTGGCAGTTTGGGGCCATGAAGTCACTTCTGTCTCTAATATCCTACTGACTCCCATCTTGCCTGGTTGATTTTTACTTGCTTTTTGAGACTTCGTAACTCTACCCTTTAACACATTATTTTATGATATTTATGTGTCTGCCTTTCCCACTAAACCTTTTTTTTTTTTTTAGGCAGATAACCAGTAGTATGTCTTTGTTTCCCAGGGGCTTAGTACAGTGACTGTTCAATTGAAATAGGAATGGGTAAAACAATATATGTAGTTTTGGTACTATGGTGAAAGAAAATTAATGAAGGAATTTTAACCAGAGACGCTAGGAAAGACTTCTTGAAGAAGGTGGGTATAATTAGGATACATTCTTTTTCCCGTATGATCTTCATTTCTACTTTTCTGAGATAGCTGGTGTTAAAATTTTTAAGTACAGTAAAACCTTGGTTTGAGAGCTTAATTTGCTCTGGAAACATGTTTGTAATCCACAGCACTTGTATATCAAAGTGAATTTCTCTGTAAGAAATAATGGAAACTCAGAAGATTAGTTCCACTCAGAAGAAGATTTGTAATGTACAAAATAAAAAAGAAAATACAAAATATAGAGAAAAAGAAATTAACCAGCACTTACCTTTGGAGACCATCATAGCTGGTATGAGGGAGACGGAGAGGAGGGTTATAATGTAGGATGACTTTCACTATCACTATTGGATGCTGACTACAGAACAGTAATAATAAACTCTTGTCACATAATGTATTTCATGTAACTGGCCATAAGGCAGCAGAGGAAAGGGTCTGTATCTGCAGGCATCCTCACCTAGAATGAAGCAAATTACTCCTAAGCTTACTCTTGTCCGGAAAAGCAAAGGACTGTCCATAGGTGTTTTGAAGTGACAAAAAATACACGAGTGCCAATTGTGGTTCCCTTACAACGTTCTGAAAAATCACTGATTTTTGCCAAACACCGCAGTCTGAGTCCGAGCATCCGAGCATGGGAGACGATCACTCACAGTCCCGCAGTGAGAGGGAGAGAGAAGACCCACTGGTTCAGTCGTGAGCATATGACGTGTCACGTACTACTTGTATTGCAAGATGTTGTTCGTTTATCAAGTTAAAATTTATTAGAAATGTTTGCTTCTCTTGCAGAACACTCGCAGAACAAGTTGCTCACAATCCAAGGTTTTGGTGTGTATTCTTCCCTTGTTGTTTAATAGGTTTATACAAGAAAGTGTTTTCCAGGGGTGGCAGGGGTGATGTGTAACTCTTGACTGTTTACATTTCTTTGGATGTTTTGTGTATATCTTTGGAATAACACAGTGCTCTTTTTAAATTAAGATATTTTGTCCCCTAAATCTTCCAAAGTAAAATTGATACTTCAGGAAATTTCAAAATGTTACATACTCTGGAACACCCCTAGTTTGAGAAGCACAGCTTTAGATGATTCTTATTCTAGCCCCTCCCCCTGCCGCTCCCATGAGAGCAGCTGGCAGTAGTTAGTAACTACCTCTTGGGACCATCCAGCTGGGGCTTTTAGGTACCTAAGATTTATTTGTAGTTGTTGTTTTTCAACAGGATTCTAATCCTGCCCTGTGTCCCTAGAAGCAGGCTGGTTGGGAGTTGTGGCCACCTTTTTTGTATAAATTCTGTTTCCCTAGGGATGGGATCCTATTTCCTCTTTTTCATCTGCAATTCCCTTGAGCAACCTAGTCATTCATTCATTCAAAAATATTTACTGATTCTCTACTGTGCCATCCAGTATGCTGAATGCTAGGAATCAATGGTGGTCAGAAACTAGGTCGCAGTCTAGTGGGGGATACAGCCTCATAAGTGCACTAATGGCTTTACCACAGTTACAGAGAAGGGGCAACTGAAGAAAGGGAACATGGTTCTCTGGGTATTTGGTGAGGAACAAAACTTACCCTGGTGGGTTAGAAAAGATTTCCTTGAGGAAGTGGCCTAAGCTCTGAAAGACTGAGTTAAGTAGGCAAAGAAAGGCAGAGAGCAGGTTCAAACAGCCTGTGCAAATATCCTGTGTCAAGAGGCTACATGATACTTTTGAGGAGCTGGGAAATGACCAGTGGGTCTGGAGCAGAGAGAAATGGGGAAGGGGCTAAGTGGTTAGGAGGATGGTACAGAATGAGCTAAAGAGATTAGCAGAGCCAAGATCATACCAGGTTAGGACTTTATTTTTTATCCTAAGAGTGAGGAGTCCCGTTGAGAGTGTCACGATCTGATTTATGAATGAAACAAAACTTGGATCAGGTAGAGAACAGAACGGAAGAGGGTCAGAGTGGCATTCGGACTGGAGTCGGTTGACTGGAGTGTTACGGTAGTGGGGCAGTTGCACAAGAGAGCACAGGTTTGATTCCTACTCGGTATGTATACCTTGAGAGAAAAGGCGATGTCATAGATTGCTTTAGTCGTTATGGGAAGATTGGGTAGCTTATAAGCAACTGTATTTCTCACAGTTCAAGGGGCTTGGAAATCCAAGATCAAAAGTGCTTATGTCCAAAACAGTATCCAGTCCAGAGCCATGCTTCGGGATGCCCTTCAGTTTTGTATCTGGCACAGAGATTGGCCAACTTTTTCCTTAAAGGGCCACGTAGTATATATTTATTTTGTGGACCCCATGATCTCTATTGGAAACACTCTGATCTTGTCACTCAAAAGCAGCCACAGACACTATATAAACAAAAGGGTGTGGCTATGTTCCAGTAAGACTTTTTGGACACTAAAAGTTGAGTTATCATTTTTATGTATCACAAAACAGCATTATTCTTTTGATCCCCCCCCCCCCCCCCCCCCCCCCCCCCCATGAAAGGAGCCT